TTTTCTCTCTAGCTCTTTCGCTCTGTCCCTCTCTGGTCAAATAAAAATAAGAAAAAAAGTTAAAATAAAATAATTCTTTAAGGAAAAAGATTTTATAGCTTATAGAACATTATCAAGAACATAAAAAAATCAACAGAACGGGGGAAAATTTGCAAATCTGTCTTATAAGGAACTTGTATATAGAATATATTAACGTTTAAACTAAATAATAAACAGACAGATATCTGAGTTAAACAAAAGGGCAGTGGATCTTAGTTGACATTTTCCCAAAGATTAACAAATGTCTAATAAGCATCTGAAAAGGTTCTCAACATCTTTAGTCCTTAGGGAAATGCAAATCAAAACTGTAGCGAGATACCACTTCATACCTACTAGGTTAGCTGTAATGAGAAAGAAAATAGCAAAGCTTGAGGAGGATGTAAAGAAATCTGAACCCTCATTTGCTGCCTCTGTGGGAAATATGAATGGTGTAGTAGTAGTTCCTCATCTGGTTAAACATAAGACTTATTGTATGGCCCAACAGCTCCTAGATATATGAAAATGAAAACTTTAAGTCCATACAGAAACTTTAGTATTTTTAGTGATATACTTCATTATAGCCCAAAGGTAGGATGTCCATCAACTGATGGATGGATTAATTATATATAAAGAGAGAAGAGAGAGACAGAGAGAGAGAGAGATTTGGGTTGTTGGAAAAGTCACAATGCATTTTTGCTTAGAAAAATACATCATGCTGAGATGGCTACTGAACTTGAGCTGTGAAATATTGTTTTCATTGACTAAAAATGAAGATTTTCTTTTGAGATTCCTCCCTCCAGATTCATTTCTAGTGAACTTCACTCACTGAATGTCTAGACTGGTCTAGAACAGTATCTAAACATCTGATTACTATTAGGGTCAGAATAGTCCTCAATTCCCACTGAATCTGGTGCACAAAGAGTGAAAAAAGGAATGGAAGAGAGATTGTAGATCGCCTCCTCCAGCATGCTTCAAATTGCTCGGGTTAGGAAGAAACATAAAATCCATCAGATGACTGGAAATCACTGCAGAGTCACAGGAAATATGAGAAAGCAAGAAGATACCTCTCCTCCAAGGGAAAAGAATAACTCCTCTTCATCCTCAGACTACAATGAAACTCATGGAAATGTCAGATACAGAATTTGGAATATTCATAGTGACAAATCTAACATAGATGGAAAGGAAGAGAGACAATGAACTGCAGAAGAGGCAGGAGAAAGGAATTGACCAGTTCCAGGAGGTAAGGAAATTCTTGTTAGATTTGAAAGAGGAAATACATACCATAAAAAAATCAAATGGAACTGTTAGAGATGAAGGCTATAATACAAGAAGTCAAAGCCTCCCTTGGAAGTATTAAAAAGCAGACTAGATCATACAGAAAATCGAATCTCAGATGTAAAAGCTAGGATCACTGGCCTATAAAAATCCACCACAAACACTGAGAAAATTGCCCCCCCCTCCCATGAGAATAATATACAAGATATACTAGATACCATCAACCGTCCAAACATCCAGATAATTGGTATCTCAGAAGGTGAAGAGGCTCATAAGGGCATTGATAATCTATTCCATAAAGTCCTGCAAGAAAACTTTCCAAACCTAGAGAGGCATTTGAAGATCCATTCCCAAGAATTACAAAGGACCCCAAATAGAATCAACTCAAGAAGATCTTCTCCAAGACACATTATAGCCCAGTTGACCAAAACCACAGACAAAGACAAAATACTAAGATTGACAAGAGAAAATCTACAAGTTACTTACAAAGGATGTCCTATCAGGCTAACAAGCAGACCTCTCATCTGAAACAATGCAAGCGAGGAAAGAATGGGAAAACATATTCAAAGTATTAAGGGAAAAGCAATTTCATCCAAGAATACTGTACCCGGCAAGACTATTCCTCATATGGAAAGAAAAGACAAGAATGTTCTCACGTAAACAAAACCTGAAAGAATTTACCAACACCAGACCAACTCTCTAAGAAGTTCTCAAGGGAGTGCTATACCAGGAAAATTAAATAGAAACACAGAGAAATGAGTTCAGAAACTAAGAAAATGGCCAGCTTAATTGTAGTCTGGAGTTAAATATTATATCCCAGAATTTAATCGGGAAGATCGGACCACAACAGAAGATAGATTAAGTACATGAAACTGAACTGGTGAAGTAGAATCTTATGACTTTTGACCAAAACATTGCTGATTTTCTTCTAGGCTTTGTTTTCCGGTTTTAAGGATTTTTGTCTTATCTTGAGCTGCCCATAGTTTCATGTACCTACTATTTGAACATAATCCTAACCTGTTTCCTGGCTTTAAGTTTGATGCAAAGCTCTTTTAGCATTTCTTTTATTTGGATGTATTAAAACTAAAACTGCTTTTCTTGAAATTAAAAAATATGTTAAAAAATATCTTTTTAATGACCATAGTAAGCTATATGACATCAGCTAGGTGCTACCTTATAGTATATTTATTCTACTCAGAGTTTCACACCTAAAGTCAGACATGTATTCACAGATATGTATATATCAGCTGAACTTGCAATTTTTTTTTCTTTTGGAGAGGTTTTTGCTATAGGGCGCGTGCACTCGCCAGACAGACAGAGACAGAGAGACAGAAAGCGAAAAATCACCCCCCAGGGGGGATAGCAACGCCGCAATCCCTTCTCCTCTATTCTCCTCTCCAGATCTTGGGCACGCACGCACATGACCTGGCGTGAGTTTTAAGCCACCGGGTCCAGGACACGAACCGCGGTCGACTACGTGGGAGTCCAGCGACATAGCCATTACGCTAACTGCTGGTCCCAGCTGAACTTGCTATTTAAAGTATTAGATTATTTAAGAAATTTTGTGAATCAATAAAATGTGGAGGGAAAAATGAATGGAAAGCAACTGTAACACTAGATAGTGTGGGAAGAGGATGGGAAATGGCAGAGGGTGAAAAAAGGGGAAAATATATAGATATACACACACATAATATGTATATAAAACTAGAAATGGAAAATTATCTACAATAACATGTACGATTAAGTCACTATGCAGTATATTCTGGATGGGAAGTCACATTTTGTATGCTGTGACAATGCTCAGTGAATGAATGTAAATTAAGCTTTTTTAAAAAAGAAAGAATACATTATGACTTTTACTACAGCCCAATATATATTCATACAATTATTATTTGGTCATGATAAAGGACTGAGGTACTGATACATGGTATATAACATGGATGAACTTTAAAACAGTATGCTAAGTAAAAGAAAGCAGTCACAGAAAAGCAAATTGTACGATTACATTCATATAAGATTTCTAGAATAGGCAAATCCAGAGAGACAGAAAGTAGATTAGTTGTTTCAAGGGAGTGGGGGAGAAAGAAAATAGAGAATGACTGCTAATAAATTGGTGTAAGATTTTCTGAAAGGATGACAAAAGTGTTCTCAAATTAGATATGGTGATAGCGTCACACCGCTAACTATATTAAATAAAGTTATACTTTAAAGGCTTAGTTTTAATTATACATGAATTATCTCAATGACACTATTACCCTAAAAAAATGAACATTGATACTCTTTGAGCACTATTTCTTCATGTTGATACTTTTTCCATAGAAGAACTTATTCTGTTTTTCAAAAAGAATTATGTGTATTGGTTCTAGGTTTGTATATGAAAGATTATAAAAGTTGTCCAATAAACACAAGTATTCTTGCTGAGGAAATTTTTTTTTTCTACCTTGGCCCCCTTTAATGTCTTGTTCACTGGCCTCATGAAATGGAAAATATTACTATTTCATATTAATTAATTCATGTTTATATCATATGTTTTGTAGTCTTGCTATAATGGATTAATTTCTGAAAATCCTATTCATGGAGAAAGCACTTTTATCCTGACTACTTAGATTCAGTTTGCCAAAAAAAAACACAATAAAAACTTAGCAGCATTCAAAACATTGGGTTCTCTACATTCTTGATATTTTTGCATTTGTGTGTAAGTGCACAATTTTAAAGGATTTGATTAAATATTTAAAGAATACAAATGTTCTTTTTTACACTTTGCTGTCTTTTGAAAGATAGCATCACAAGTAGTTTTTATGTGTGTTAATTAGGCTAATTTTAAGTGAAGATAAATTGTTGATGGTGTCTAGTTTTCTACTGATATATTTATAAAGGGATGGGAAGAATATGTTTATAAATTTTTGAAAAAACTATCTGCCTATAAAACAGTTGACCTTTTAAAGGCTTCCTTTTGTTAGTATGTAACAGTGTACAAAATAAGGATAATGTAGTGTTTTAGAATATGGGCCTCTTTCCAAGAGAAAAACTTACTTTTATATATACAGTGGTCTTCAGAAAGTTTGTGGAATATGCATATTACCAAAAAAACCTGCCTGGATTTCAAAATTATTTCACACCAAAATAAACTCATATTTTAATTTTATTTTTCCAGGAACTTTTTGACCCTCTGTTTCATTTCTTTCAATTTTTTCTTTTATATATATATTTTTTTTTTTGAGAGGTTTTTTCGCTATAGGGAGCATACGCTCGCCAGACAGAGAGAGACGTAGAGACAGAAAGCGAGAAATCACCCCCCGGGGGGGATGGTCATGCTGCAATCCCTTCTCCATTCTCCTCTTGAGATCTTGGGCACGCACACACACACGCCCGGCGTGAGTTTTAAGCCACTGGGTCCGGGACGCGAACCGCGGTCGACTACGTGGGAGTCCAGCGACATAGCCATTACGCTAACTGCTGGTTCCTTCATTTCTTTCAATTTTAAGACAAAAAAAAATGGACCTGTAAATATTTTGTATCTTCTTAAAATGGCAGCTAAGTATGCTTTAGAACAAAAACCCAAAACTAATAACATTCCATTTTGAAAAATAGCAAAGAAAGCATTTATGTACTTTAAGAAAACAACATATTCTAAATTGAGAGTGTTAAAAACGAGAATCCAGATGGTCAATTCAGACAGTGTGTAATGCTATAATTTTTCTTTCTAGTTAAAAGGCTGGCCACAGAGAACCTGCAATACATGGTAAAAGCCTGCCAAGTGGGGTCAGAAGGAGAACCTGCCGCCCAGCTGACTTCTGTGTTTAGGTAACTGGAAAATATGCCAACTGGCAACAAGACTCTTGCCAGCCACTTGACAGCCAACATGTTTTTTAAATAACTAATTATCCAAAACATAATGTGTTACTACTTGTTTATAGTATTTCGATTATTATATTTTTGGCAGTAGTTTTGTTACATTGTGTTATTTTATTGAAAAATAGAAGTGCGGCTGAAAAAGATAAGTGAGCTGACTTAAAATTACTATGAAATTAGTAGGAGAGAACCTCTCCTGTATTTGAGAGGAAACAGTGGGAACTGTGTCATGCTGACAGGTGCACAGGCCCCCAGAGCTTGCTGAATGTGGTACTGAGGAGCTAGTGAAGAAGTACATGTCAGTCGTTTCTGATCTGCTCTAGGTACTACGGCTCCAGAAAGCTCCATTATGTTTAATTTGGGAAGCATGGGCTTTATAGGAGTAAATCTATTGATTCACAAGAATAACAATGCAGCTTGAAAGATGTTTTCTTCTTCCTGCCTTGCCCCATTTACAGATTCATACTTTCTAATAGGGCAGTATTTTTTAGTTTTGTTTGTTTGTTTTTTTAGGTTTTTGCTATAGGGCACATGTACTCACAGGAGAGTAACGGAGAAGAAAGTGAGAGAGAGTGAATGAGAAATCACCCCCCATGGGGAATAGCAATGCTTCAATCCCTTCTCCTGAATTTTGGGCAAGCACACACATGTGCCCAGTGTGATTCGTAAGCCGCCAGGTCCAGGAGTTGATCTAATGTCAGCCATATAAAGTCCAATGCCTTACCACCATGCCACCTGCTGCCTCCTTTTTCACTATTTTCGTGGTTTCTGGCAGTTCACCTTTATTATATATATATATATCTTTACCTTAAAACTGCCGTGATAATGGTAATAATTTAGGTTCATTTTGTTCATTTTATGTTGGAACTTTAGTTCCTTCGTTTTTTTCTCTCTTAACATAATTGGCCCTTGTCAATGTTTATAGTTTATCTAAATTGTAATCACTTGAAAAATGATTTGTGAAAATTGTGAAACCGTAGGAGGAGAGAAAAGGATTTTATATGTTCAAAGATTTAGTATTTGTTTTCTACAACTTAACAATATTAGGTTAGGTGGCTTTTATTTTGTGAATTGATGGGGGAGTGGAGATCTTAGAGTTAAAATATGTCATTTTGGCACCAGCAGATAGTGTAATGGTTACATCACTGGACTGCCACATAGTTGACTGTGGTTCGAGTCCTAGACCAGGCGGCTTGAACTCAAACTGGGTGTGTGTACGTGCATACCCAAAATCCCAAGAGGAGAAAGGAGAAGAAAGTCTTTCTGGGTCAGATGTTTCTTATTTGATTAAGGAACATAAAAATATTGTTTACCTAGAGATAGAAAGGTTTCATAATGAAGCAGCAAATCTGACTTTTCCTACCTTTTAGTGTCTTCATACCCTTCTCACCCAGATTTTGATGTGAAGAATATAGCAAAAAAAGCCCCTGGGATTGGATCCCCCCCTGCCTCATTTTCCCTTCTAGGATTCTAGTTCTTCCCTCTTGTCCCCAGTGCCATCACTCTGGTCATGACACTGAAATAAGCCATTTCTGATCTTTATCTTTTTAAGTGTCATAAGCAGTCTTCATATCACACCTGGACTTTTACCGTAATCTTAAATGAAATGACCTTTCTTATGTTTGGTTACAGCTGATTGCCTTGTAGATACCAGCCCCAAGAATTGCCCCAGAAGTAATCCAAAGTAACCTCTTTTACTTTTAGGCAGTTTATCCAGGATTATAGTATGAGATATGATAATCAAGTTTACAGCATTTTAGAAACAGTAGCAACACTGAACCAGCAAGTTGTCATCCACTTGATTTCTACTCTCACTCAATCTCTGAAGGATTCAGAACGGAAATGGGGCCTTGGCAGAAATATTGCACAAAGGTATGTTCAATAATTTACATTCTTTTGAGCAATGGTATGTAACACTTTATTTTATAGCAGTGACTTTTTTTCCTATTCTCCCAAAAGTTGGAATGTTCTTTTGAGCCGAAAAACATTTTATGACTGTAATCATTACCAGTAAAGTATGATTAGAAATTAGCACAGATTGTCAACAAATTTAGCAGAATCGACATACCCATTTCGCATGTTGTGACCACCTTAGAAAATTGTATATTTCACACTTAGCTTAATGGCTATGTCGCTGGACTCCCATGTAGTTGACCACAGTTCGAGTCCTGGACCCGGTGGCTTAAACTCATGCTGGGTGCGTGTGCTTGTGTGCCCAAAATCCTGAGAGGAGAATGGAGGAAAAGGGATTGCGGCATGGCCATCCCCCCTGGGGGATTTCTCGCTTTCTGTTTCTCTGTCTCTCTCTGTCTTTCTGGCGAGTGCATGTGCCCTATAGCAAAAACCTCTCTTAAAAAAAAAAGAAAGTTTATGACTATACAAAGTCATAGTTGAGATTTTACTTGGTAACAAGACTATATTGACTATAGCTTTAGCTAACTAATTGAATCTTCCTTTTCAATACAATAAATGAAAACAAAAGAAGGAAATAAACCAGAGATCACATGGGTATAGCTTTTCTGTGCAAGAGTGAAAAGTCTCCTTTCTTCTACTGACAGAAGCTTGGCCAGCCTCTTACAGTTTTCTAGAAAGAGAACATTGCAATACTTCAAAAAATGTAACTTTGAAGAAATGGTATTTGTCATGTCACAAAACAAGCTCATGTAGAGACCTCTCTTAACATCTGGCTTCTCTGAGTAATCTTCAAGTGTGAATGAAAGAACTAGAGAGGCTTTGTGTGAGCCGCTCTAATGTAGTGTGTTGTTGGTATAAATGTTCTGCTAGCTTCTACCTTTTGTGGCCAGGTATGCCCATGAGAAGGTGGATTTTAAATATTCTGAGTAACAGAAATACTGAGATGAATGAAATGCTACTGGGCACAAGAAATCTTTTAAGAAAACATCCCAAATATAGAAGTACTAGAGAATCTAATAGGAAAAACCAATTTATTTTTTCAAACTTTATTATTTCTAAATATGATAAAAAAGAAAATGGAGTGTATGGCAAAATTGTTACACAGGTCTATTGTGTGGCTATAGAATTTTTGTTTTATGCTTAGGTTTGTGACATAAGTTCCCAGTGTAATCATACCTTTGTTGTCCTCAAGTAATATCTTATGAACATATTTCATTACTTCTGAGCATTGTTATTTTTATTGTTATTGTTATATGTCATATTTCATTACTTCTGAGCATTGTTATTTTATATGGTTAATGAACTTCTACATGCCAATTTTAGTCCACATTATGTATTGCGGTGAGCTTATTACATAGAGGGCATGTTTAATTTGTAAATACTTGAATAAAAAATAATGTTAAAGGTAACAAATATATTTTCTCTCTTCTTTCTCAAACAGGGAAGCCTATAGCAAACTTTTATCTCATCTAGGACCAGTGGGACAAGATGAAATGCAAAGACTGGAAAATGATAATACTTAATATATTTTTGTGATCCTTCTTCTGTACTGTTAATCACTATCCAAAGCCACATTGTCCTATTCTAACTTCTACTTTTAATTAATTGTATAATATTCTGTTAAAAATTATTTCTGGAATTTTTTTTCCTTATATACCTGTGAGTATAAAGTACATAAATAAGAAAATAAAAGTTAATTAGTAATCCTGTAATAGGATCCTTGGAACTTTGCAAAACTGCATTCTGTTTTTAAGAGTTTTTAATTAGCTAAACTAAATTGAAAACTTTTTCTGAGGATCTTTTCTAGGTAAGAGTATTGAAACAGGTTTGTACTGATTCATCCATGAACTTTTTTTTTTCTTTCTAATTCACCAGTGGAAGCATGCACTCAATGGAAAGAGACAGAGAGAAAACAAGAAAGCACCACCCCCTGTGGAGAATGGTTACGCCACAATCCATTCTCTCATTTCTCAGAGCCAGCCCCGCATCCTTTCAATTTTTTAAAAGCCGCCATGTCCAGAACTTGAACTTCATAGTCGTCTCGGTGGGATCCAGCTGCCTTGAGCACAAAGCTATGGGCTGGCCTTATCCATGAACTTTTTACTGTAATGTGACTTCCTGACTTGCAACTGATGTTTTGTTATTTTTAACTTTTTATAGTCATGTTTTAGTATGATACTTTTTCAAATTACCTGGCTGCCTTATTCTGGTATTTTTAGGGTGCAGGGGGGATGGCTGGGAGATGGGGCTGTATGTTTGTTTTCCTTTTCTATACTATATGTGTTAATAAATATTAATAAAACCCTTAAAACAAACACTTAATGATAGAAATGAAATTGAATCTGGCTAAATGATTATACACATAATAATCTGAAAAGTTTAAACTTATGTCAGCGTTGTTTCTGCTTGGGTTCCAAGAATTGCCAGATTTTTTTTCTCTACTTATCCTTTCAAGGTTGTCATTAAAAGATATAAAAGGAGGAAGAAATACAAGAACATTAAAAAATATAATAAATAAAATTATTTTGTGGGCCAGTGAGTGGCACAGTGGTAATGTTATACTCCATAATGCTAGTGTGTGAGCCGCTCTAATGTAGTGTGTTGTTGGTATAAATGTTCTGCTAGCTTCTACCTTTTGTGGCCAGGTATGCCCATGAGAAGGTGGATTTTAAATATTCTGAGTAACAGAAATACTGAGATGAATGAAATGCTACTGGGCACAAGAAATCTTTTAAGAAAACATCCCAAATATAGAAGTACTAGAGAATCTAATAGGAAAAACCAATTTATTTTTTCAAACTTTATTATTTCTAAATATGATAAAAAAGAAAATGGAGTGTATGGCAAAATTGTTACACAGGTCTATTGTGTGGCTATAGAATTTTTGTTTTATGCTTAGGTTTGTGACATAAGTTCCCAGTGTAATCATACCTTTGTTGTCCTCAAGTAATATCTTATGAACATATTTCATTACTTCTGAGCATTGTTATTTTATATGGTTAATGAACTTCTACATGCCAATTTTAGTCCACATTATGTATTGCGGTGAGCTTATTACATAGAGGGCATGTTTAATTTGTAAATACTTGAATAAAAAATAATGTTAAAGGTAACAAATATATTTTCTCTCTTCTTTCTCAAACAGGGAAGCCTATAGCAAACTTTTATCTCATCTAGGACCAGTGGGACAAGATGAAATGCAAAGACTGGAAAATGATAATACTTAATATATTTTTGTGATCCTTCTTCTGTACTGTTAATCACTATCCAAAGCCACATTGTCCTATTCTAACTTCTACTTTTAATTAATTGTATAATATTCTGTTAAAAATTATTTCTGGAATTTTTTTTCCTTATATACCTGTGAGTATAAAGTACATAAATAAGAAAATAAAAGTTAATTAGTAATCCTGTAATAGGATCCTTGGAACTTTGCAAAACTGCATTCTGTTTTTAAGAGTTTTTAATTAGCTAAACTAAATTGAAAACTTTTTCTGAGGATCTTTTCTAGGTAAGAGTATTGAAACAGGTTTGTACTGATTCATCCATGAACTTTTTTTTTTCTTTCTAATTCACCAGTGGAAGCATGCACTCAATGGAAAGAGACAGAGAGAAAACAAGAAAGCACCACCCCCTGTGGAGAATGGTTACGCCACAATCCATTCTCTCATTTCTCACTCCTTTTGGGATTTTGGATAAGCAGACCCGCATGCCTTGCATGTTTTTCAAGCCGCCATGTCCAGAACTTGAACTTCATAGTCGTCTCTGTGGGATCCAGCTGCCTTGAGCACAAAGCTATGGGCTGGCCTTATCCATGAACTTTTTACTGTAATGTGACTTCCTGACTTGCAACTGATGTTTTGTTATTTTTAACTTTTTATAGTCATGTTTTAGTATGATACTTTTTCAAATTACCTGGCTGCCTTATTCTGGTATTTTTAGGGTGCAGGGGGGATGGCTGGGAGATGGGGCTGTATGTTTGTTTTCCTTTTCTATACTATATGTGTTAATAAATATTAATAAAACCCTTAAAACAAACACTTAATGATAGAAATGAAATTGAATCTGGCTAAATGATTATACACATAATAATCTGAAAAGTTTAAACTTATGTCAGCGTTGTTTCTGCTTGGGTTCCAAGAATTGCCAGATTTTTTTTCTCTACTTATCCTTTCAAGGTTGTCATTAAAAGATATAAAAGGAGGAAGAAATACAAGAACATTAAAAAATATAATAAATAAAATTATTTTGTGGGCCAGTGAGTGGCACAGTGGTAATGTTATACTCCATAATGCTAGGCCCACATGGGGAGCTTCCAGGTTCCCATCCCAAGGCATTCATGCATATGCTGGATGCATGCAGGTCCACAGTCCAGGCTGGCTGAGGCTGGAGGTGGGTCGTGGCATGAAGACCATTGGGGGTGCTGTCTTTGTCTATTTCTCCCTCTCATAGCAAAAATAAACTTAAAAATAATACTCACAAGTACTAATAATATTCTGTAAAGTCTTAAGATTACTAATAACAAGAGGTCTGGAAAGTCAGTTGTCTCCTTGTTCTTCAGTCAGATTCTCTTTTCTCCAGTCTAATCCCTTTTCTGGACATAAAAATGATCTATTTCCTCTAAAATCAAGTCATTACTTCAGCAAACAGAATAAATAAAAATGCCTTTAAGGCTGTTTAATAAACTTCATAGTATTGAGTTTCTTTTCACTATAATAGTAGTTTGTTAAACCAGTTATGAATTGCTTTGTAAGTTTCTGCAATTAAAGGCATTTTATCTATTTGAGGTGATACCATTAATGAAGTTATTTATCTTTTTATCTTCTAAGGAATATTAATTAAGATACCTTTGAGAACTGTGATTCTTAAGAGAATTAATTTTCAAGGTATAAAGCTGCTACTGAATCATGCATAAGGGCATACATCTGTAGATGGTAAGAATATACGATCAATAGGACCAGCAGATGGCATAATGGTTAAGTCCCTGGACTCTCACATAGTCAACTGTGGTTTGAGTCCCAGACCTGCGGTTTAAAACTCATGCCAGGTGCGTGTTTGTGCGCCCAAAATCCAGAGAGGAGAATGGAGGAGAAGGGATTGCAGTTTGGCCATCCCCCAGAAGCTGATTTCTTGCCGTTTCTTTGTCTCTGTGACTGTGTCTGTCTCTGTCTCTCCGGTGAGCGTACACACTCTATAGCACACACACCCTATTTAAAAAAAAATGTAAAAACAGAAAGTCTGTAACAATATGTGTGTTTATGTATATTAATAATTTCAAAGAGACTGTTACCTTAATTAAAAAATGAAATTTATAGCCTCAGTCTCTTTTCTTTAAAATCTTTATTGATCCTTCACTTATTACTACAATATAATCTTATCTTTTTTCATTCCAGACTCTGGGTATCTTATTTCCAGTCTCCTTAATATCCATTATCCCCCAAATACCATGTAATTTCTTAAACGACTTCTCCCACCACCGTAGTGTAAGTCATTCTTTTTTGAGCAAAGCTGAGTCAATTCTTCTTTCTTTTTTTGGCTCCTTTGAAATGGTTTTCCTTTACCATCCCATCTCTTCCTCAATGATACTGCTCCTTCCTACACTGATTGTTTCTTGAGAGCACCTTCACAGCCTTCTTTCCTGACCCCGATGGTAAATTCAGACCCTGCACCTCCTCTGTCTCAGCATTCTTTTTATAGTGAACTGGTAACTCTAGCTCATGATTTTGTCTCTCAGATCAGCTTTTAGTGCTAATTTCTCTCTCAACCTCTCTAGTTAGATCCTCCTGAAATCTCAAAGCAACATGTCAGGCTGCTCTTGTCACCTTCTGTTCCAAACCGCTGCTGTTCTCATTCTACCCAGAGAAAATACACTGTTTTCCCAAGTTGCCTTGAAACTTCAGAGAATCTTAGATCCTTCATTCTTCCCCATTCTGCATTCTTCCCCATTCTTCTAGGTGATCACCAGTACAGGCTCTTAAGCTGTTCTTTTTATGTTTGTATTTTTGGGGGGTTTTTTTGTTTTTTGTTTTTTTTCCTTACATCTAAACTTTTTACTGATGGGCAGTAGGCTCTCCTTACCCCCTTATCTCTGGTCTCCTTTTCTATAGTTTATCCCATACACAGTTCAGAAATTAGGGTTTCTAGAATATTTTTCTGCTGAAGGACCTTTGATAAGTTGCCATTCTCCTTTAGTTTGGAGAGTTTTGCCATTTAACTGTACCTTTTATTGTCATACTTACCTCTTTCCAAACAAGAGACTCCCTTAGCTGCTTTCTCTGAGTGCCACATTCATTCTATACTCAGCCTCATTCAGTTTGCGAACTTGGAATGCCACTCTTTGCATAGAAACTTAGGACACTTAAATGGGAAGAAAAGTAAAATGTTCATTTTGGATATGTGAATATGCTAGTCAAATTAGATCTGTAAAATACCAACTGGAGTATAAAAGATGAATGAAGGACAACAGAGTGATGAAAGGGCTTTATTAGACACTTGGATTTTGTTATAATTTAATCTTCAATTTAATATTAGAAGGTTTCCATGGAGGAGGTAAACAAAGGATTGTCTCTGTGCAAAAATCATTCAGTATTGAGTTCGTTTCAGTTTAAAACTTCTATACATTTACCTATTTCTATTGTTTTCTTCCTCAGTATATCTGACGTTTTGTACCTTGGAATTTATTTAAGGGAGTAATTTGTGAATCTTAGGCTATCTGTGACTTTACATTACCCATTATTATCTTCTTTCATGCTTATCACAAGTTTTAAAAACTACTCTGTTCTTTAAGAATTATACGGATCCGTTGCACTGTACTTTTGCAGAAGATTATATGTTGTATAAAATTTGACAAGCTTCTGCAGTTTGGAAAAGCCTTTAGGAAGTCTGCCTTCCCAAAATACGACATGTTATCATAGCCTTATATTTTAAAAATATCAGATATTATGAAAACCTCACCAAAAGTTGTATTACCTGCGTTAAACCACTGGTGAGTGCCTTATTGCTTCATCCCCACATGACAGAAAGCAGAAGACAAGCTAAGACAAATATGTCCTCATATGGCTGAAGAGCAAAAGAAGTTGAACTCCTCTGCAAGCCATTTTATTAATGGCATTATCCATTTGTGAAGAGCCCTCATGACCTAAGTATCTCTTCAAGGGTCACATCTTCCAATGCTGTTGAATTGGGGAGTAAGTTTCCAACACATGAATTTTGGAGAAGACACATTCAACCACAGCAGATACAGATTATCAACATGACTTAGCACTTTTTTTTTTTTTGGAGAGGTTTTTGCTATAGGACGTGTGCGCTCAACAGAGAGACAGAAAGCTAGAAATCACCCCCCGGGGGGATGGCCATGCTACAATCCCTTCTCCATTTTCCTCTCGGGATCTTGAGCATGCAGCACACGCGCCCGGTGTGAGTTTAAGCCACCGGGTCCGGGACGCAAACTGCAGTCGACTACATGGGAGTCCAGTGACATAGCCATTATGCTAACTGCTGGTCCCGATAGATTTTTTTTTTTTAACATAAGCCTTAAGTTTTCCAAAAGCTGACCTCCTGTCTACTCCTTTTAGGGTTAAAAGTATTGCCTTGTCAGGTGAAAGTATAATATGCTAATATAAATAATATGCTTTATTTGGTTAAAACAGTTGGTTTGGGAAAGCAGCAAAGTAGCATATTCTTTCGCATTTTTAATAAGATGTGAAATTTATATTTTGACTCTATGATAGGGTTACCAAAATTAGTACCAAATAATTGGAATTGACCCAATTTCTAATTAAACTTTTGGTATGCTTATGTTTATCCTACTTATTGTACTTGTGAATTGTGCTTTTAGACAGAAACAGGATGTTCTTACTTTTTGTACTTGTTTTTAAGTTATTTGTGCATATAACGAAGGTTAAAGATATATAGGAAGAGATGTATATAACTTGGATTGTGCCTGTGATTGAATATTCATCTTCCTTTTCATAATGGATTCACTGTTTGAATACCAAAATAAAAGTAAGCTGTGTTACTAGAAAGAATAATTTCTGTCTTATTCCTGTTGCTTTTTTTCCCAAAACAATGGAAAGTTAGATTTTCAGCTCTTACTATGGCTTAAAGTGATACATGCTATGTGTGATTGAGGTATGTGGAAAGTACGATGGAAAAAGTATGAAAAGTACCTTCATCATAGCCTAATTAATGTTTCATTATTAAGGATATAAGGAATTTTATTGTATCTTTTATACATAAAACTTTAGAGATTACTGTCTTTGCTGGCTTTTCCTCCCACAGCAAGAATGCTCTGCTAAGATCAATGTGGTACTGCTATCTGTCTTCTTTTTTAAAAAGAATGATTTATTTATCATATTTTTTTTTAACTTGCTATAGGGCATATGCATTCATGAGACAGAAAGAGAGTGAGAAAGTGAGCCACCAGGTCCAGGTGACTACAGTCATGGGGGAGTTCAGCACCTCAACCACCACAGCGCCTGCTGCTGGACTCTTTTCTGACTTTTTAAAGAAAATCTTGGAGTGATTAGTAAATGAATGTTGTATGGTCTTAATACAGAAAAATCTCATTAGTATAATAATTTTTAAACAAATATGATATGGTCTTTTATTTTGAGTAAAAGTATAAGGTTAATTGATAGTTCACTTAAATAGAAAGTATGTATTTGAATAATGACTGGAATTTGGCTTATATGATCAAATATAGTTTTACTGAATTTTTCTTTATTACTGGCAATGTTGAGGAAAAAAATCTAATTGAAGGTGATTTGGAGTTTTTTTTTTTTTTTTTTTTCTTTTTAGGAAAGAAACATTGTGTTTTGATTTTACTCTTTGGCTATAGCTGTAAATGCTATGTCCAAACTATGCAACACTTTTTAAAATGCAGAGTTCAGTTCTGTAATATTAGTGAATAATACATTATAAAGATTACTAAGGAGGGGCTTGATAATATGCACTGATTTGCTTTGTATGAACAGTTAGAAATTTATACAGAAATAATCAGGAGTAGTCTCAGGCTGCTCTTCCATTATCAGGCAGGCAAATTTATTTTTAGACTATTTCCCTTTCAATCATTGGATGTAGGGTCTAGGAATAAAATAGATTTTAATGGTTTTATAAAGTAAAACTGCTAGAGGGAAAAATCACGTGCCAAGTAGAAAACTTAGTATAGCTGAAATATTTCTTTCTAGAGTCCATTTTCCTGACATGGTAAGATGTTTTTAAAATGTAGCTTAGATGGCTTATACGTTTTAAAGAAGCTGTTGTCATCATTCTAAATATCAGTATCAGTTACCACTGTTCAGAACTGTCCAAATAGTCTTAAGGTTTTGTTGTCTAAACTAAATTCACGTTCTTTTAAAAATTTACCTTTTTTTCCATACCCCTACTCTCTCTTTCTACCGTTTAAATAGCCAGAAGTCATAAGATTTTTAAAATAATCTTTTAGGTATAAAGCTAGTGAATTCTGTATTCAAGATAAAAGATCTTTTATTCACTTTTGATTATTAAAAATGGTTACATGAATAAAATGATAATTTCCTATAAGAAAAGGATTGCTGAATGATTAAACTGCCAAGAGAAAAAAAGTCAGAATCAAGTCTTCCTTTTAATAAATTTGACCTACGTCCTAGTGAGATGATGACAAAAGGAAAAATCTCACCTTATACTTGTTGAATTTATGTTGCAATGTGATTATTAAGTTGTTTTTTTTTTATTGTAGACAAAGCAAAGCCAAAAACCTAGCCTAAAAAAAGAATCCTTATGCATTATTAAAAGTGTAATAAAATATGTATTGATGGTGGCGAAGAATCCCACAAGTGCTTAAGATTGACATAACCTTTAACAAAATGGAAAAACTTTTATTAGAACTGCCAATTCTAGGTTCAAATTTATGTCAAAGCTCTTTATGGTACCATAATTAGTACAACTAGTTTTTTTTTTTAGCTTTAAAATGTCATTTTTAACTAAGTGATTTTTTAAATGAAGTGTTTAAAAGGGTTATTTGGTACAAGGATCTGTACAAATTTAGATCTCTTTGGTTTTGCTAACTTTTCATTTTTCTAATTAGTGTTTCTTTCACATGTTTTTCAGAATCATTTATTCTATAGCATGTTTTCCAAGTTCTATCTAGTAGTTTTTAAACTTCAAATATAATTTCCCTGTGCAGTTACAGGGTTCTAAAGACAGTAAAATACTTTGTAATGTGATTAACACTTTCTCCTTAACTAAAGTGCTCCAGAATGGTTGCCTAATCCTCACAACATTTTTTTGAATTAATATGGAAATCAGTAATTATCTCTAATTTTCTCCCTTAAACTGTGGGAAAACTGAAGCACTATATAAAGTTAAGGTTCTGACCCAAGGTCACAGTAACCAAGGCAAAAAAACCTGGGTATCCCAACTGCTATTTCAGTGTACTTCCATTATTCGTATCACCTTGAATAAAATATGGCATTTAAAAATTTATGATGTCATAATGCTGAGTCTCTACTGAGCAGGGCTGCATAATGTTAAATTTTACAAAGAAAAATTACAAGCTTGGGTTTGAGTAGTAAAAGGATTAAGTATGGAATTTTTTTTTTAGATCATTGATGCCATTGTGTGAAATAAATTGCCTAGTACTTAGAATGTCATGTTTTCCTAGACAGCACTGATTAGAAAAAGTACAAAGACTGCTGTAAAGAGCCATAGAACAGTAATGTACGTTTGGTTGACACTAAACTACACCACAATAAAAGTCATACATATTGTATTGTATGTTGACATACACTGAGAAGGGTGACAAGAGTTTTTAATAATGTATTTTAGAAAATTGTTCATTTTTTGCTAATATTTATCTGACTAAAAGACCTATAAAACAAGACAAGGAAGCATTGAGCACTAAGTCTTTTCATGCCCAGGATCCAAAAGTCAGGCGTTTTGTTTTTCCTCCAGTTCACGATGGTTATCAACAGAGCACGCTTTTCAGATCGTGCCAATCCTATGATGAGGCACTTGAAGAGTTTGAAGGTTAGGACACGTGAAATAAGGAGCTGGAAGGAAGCATGCTGCTATTCCGTTGGAAGCAAAGGGGAGTGTTGGCCCGTAGAATACTTCTTCTTTGCCTTCTTTACTTACATCCAGCACCTGTGACAGAAGAAGGGAAGAGGCCTGTATGTCAAAGTTGATTGCTCAAAACAAGGAGGTGTCCACACAAAAGTAAGGCTTGGATATAAATTCAGTTATGCTACCATCATTGTTCCTTAGACATTATTTTTCTTTCTACAGTGACATAAGAAATACTAATTGCTGGACTATATGTGTGTGTGTGTGTATATATATATATATATATGTATATAT